CCTTGACTTCTATTGGGAAAGGCAGTCTGCTGTGGCCTTGAGCATCTCTGCATGTGCTTGCTAAGTATACCAAACACAAGGCCTAACTTTCCTCTAATACTGAACCATTTCTAGCTAGTCACATTGGCATTTAAGTAGGTTAAGATGACCACAGCATAACTACCATGCAACAGCTCACTCCCTCAGGGAAGGAGGCTGGTTTGTTTGCCACTTGCTACAAAAGATGCTAGGCCCTTGGCCCTGGATCCCTCAGCTGTGGTGCAAATTGCTGCATGTGCAACCACTGTCCGGGCCCATTGCATTTACTCCATAGGACTTGAGGACAGGCCAACCAGTGCTATACCATGCTGATACTTCCACTGTATGCTGTATTGAATACTAAATTTCTTCATCTGATCCACCAAATTTCATCTACATTGTTACCAATGGAGTTGTGGCAGGTGAACCTGCTTTCTTGCTTAGTCATCTCCTTTGGAGTCTTGCTATTTCTTGCTATTCTCTAGGAGGTTGGGGCTCTTCTCTAACAAAGGGTGCCATGACACAGGCACACACACACACTACAAAATGAAAATAAACATGAACTAGAAAGATGTTTCCTTACTTGAGAAATGCAGATAAATGTCAAAGCTATTGGAAACCAGAAAACCAAGTAATTTTGAGTATTTAAAATCAGTCCTGTATTGTGATACGCCAAGACCAAACTTGAATGTTATTCCACATAGGAATCTAACCAACAGAATGTAGTTCAGATTTGGGGAATGATGGTGAGGAAACTGTATTTTATGGAATTGCTAACACATTTAAAACTGTAGTTGGTAAGAAAAAGTGTGTTCTGGGCTGGGAGTGGCAGCTCACGCCTGTAATCCCAGCACTTTCGGAGGCCGAGGTGGGCAGATCACCTGAGGTCAGGAGTTCAAGACCAGGCTGACCAATGCGGCAAAACCCCATCTCTACTAAAAATACAAAAATTTAGCCAGGTGTGGTGGTGCATGCCTGTAGTCCCAACTACTTGGGAGGCTGAGGCAGGAGAATTGCCTGAACCCGGGAGGCGGAGGTTTTCTGTGAGCCAAGATCGCATCACTGCACTCCAGCCTGAGCAACAGACCGAGACTCCATCTCAAAAAAAAAACAAAAGTGTTCTTTTACTTTTTACAATAAATCCTGTTTGAGAAGTTATGATCCTTGTGTAAAAACACCTGTAGCAAGTAGTCTCTCATTTGTGCAGTGATAACTGTGGGCATTTATGTTTTTAGATTAAATCCTGTATTTGAGTAAAGATGTTAACAATACTTTCATGGACTTTTATGGTTAATTTCAGTATGTAAATTAGCATGTAGTTCATTTATAATTTTAGAAACTAGTAAACTAAAAAAAAATTTCACTCAAATTATCACTTCCTTTGTAACACCTATCCTGACCCCTGCCTTCCTTCCTTGTAGAGATAACTATTTCATCCTCTGTACCCTCAGGGCTGACACTCTATTCAGGTTGTTGCATCCACCTTAACACTTGCTATCTTCATGTGGAGACAGTGAACTCCCCCAAGGGCAGGGACCAGGACTCAGCCGCCTGCCCAGCTCAATTCCTGGCTGAAAGCAAATGCTCAACTAGTGTTGTTGGTTAAAAGGAACACATGCCCAACCTCACTAGTCTGTAAAGAAAAGCAACCGTGAGATGCCACCTTTCCAACTTCTAAACTAACAAAGATTAGTTATAAAGAGGAAGTTCTGGGAGGAGTCCAGAAAGCTACATTCTGGTCCAACCTTTCCAAAGGTCTATTTGGCAATTTCCCCAAGTGTCATACTAATGTTATGTAACCCCAAATTCAGGCTCATGTACCTGATGCAAAGCTGAAGCCAAACACTAAGACACAGGTGCTTGGAGATAGAGAAAGGATTGTTCAATTGGGCCAAAGCAAGAAGGCAGAAGAGAAAGATCTCTCAACTGTAGCTTAACAAAGAGATGACAGCAGGCGTTTTTATGGGGTAGGGTGTAAAGGAGGGAGAGTTGCCAGGAAGATAGGGGAAAAGTCTGTGCCTCTACAGTCTCAGATAAAACTTTGAGCAACCAGACTTATAGGTGCCAGCAGCTGGTCGAAAAGTCCTTAATGGCATTCATTCCTTCTGCAAAATATTTTCATGATCCTGAAAGTTATCTCTCCTGCTAGACAAAGAAACAGGACATCAGCAGTTTATAATTATATTGTGGGAACAAGAGATACTGGGCAAAACGCGAGCGCTTACTATGTGCATGCAAGCAAGGGCCTGATCAGAATTTTCACTATGGCCGGGTGCGGTGGCTCACGTCTGGATTTCCAGCACTTTGGGAGGCCGAGGCCCGCAGATCATTTTGAGGTCAGGAGTTGGAGACCAGTCTGGCCAACATGGTGAAACCCCGACTCTACTAAAAATACAAAAATTAGCCAGTCGTGGTGGTGCATGCCTGTAATCCTAGCTACTTGGGAGGTTGAGCCAAGAGAATCACTTGAACTTGGAAGGTGGAGGTTGCAGTAAGCCGAGATCATACCACTGCACTCCATTCTGGGCGGCAGAGCGAGACTTGGCCTCAAAAAACAAAGCAAAACAGAAAAAAAAAAAAACAAAAAACAAAAAACAACAACGACAACAACAAAAAACACCAAACGGAATTTTCAATACCTCAGTTACTAAAAATGCCAGAGAAAAATGCCAGAGTACTTAAATCTCAAGGAGCCTGGTTACACTCCGAATGGGGAGACGTAGGCCAGAGGCACTGGAAAGGTGAGCAGTGCTTTGGCTGGAAACCCGTCAGCCTCTGACAGAGAACTGGCATAATCTACCTCGCGATCTGCAAGGAAACACACGGGCCGGCAGAGGGCAAATCGCGCACGCCGCCTGCACCGGGCTCCGGCCTCCGGCCTCCGGCCTCCTCCGCATTCCACAGTTGTTGCACTTTTCCCACTTTTATAACCGAGAGAGGAAGTACGCGCTGCTCGAAAACGCGAAACGCGCATGGGACCCTAGGACCGACTCGCGCGCCCTCGACGGCTTGAAACCGGGTTCCAGACACTCGTTCGCGCCCTAGGGCTCCCGTCGCCCAGGTCCGGGTGCTCACTCTCTCCAGGGCGCAAGACCGCGAGGTGGCGAAGCACCTACTTGGCTGCGCGCGACGTGGCGGGGATGCTGCAGTCCCGCGCGCCCCACCCGCTCTGGGCGTGTCAGGGTAGGCGGTGTTCAGAAGTAGAACCCCGCCCAGCCACCGCCTTCGGGTCCTGAGAAGACTCTCCTCCCGGCCTCCCTGTTTCAGCTGTTGACCTGCGAGAGAGCTACACCGCTCGCCACGTGCGGTCCCCTCAGGGTAGTGGGCCTCATAGGGCTCCGCCGCCAGATCTGGGCCAAGTTTCTTCCAGAGACTTCACTACCGACATGGGTGTATGAAGGACGGTCCAGAGAACATTTCCCGACCTGCCTGTTTGCCTGACCTGAATGTGAGGTCCTTGAGCGCCCTTGAGCCGTGGCCTTGGGCCTGCCAAGATTGAGGCAGGCGTGGTCACCGAATACTTCTGGTGTGGGGAAGCGGGCACAATTTACACTGTCCGTGCCACAGGAGCTTCCACTTTTGCCAGGGAAACTAACCTGGAGGTGGGAGCTCCTTTTATTTGTTGGCCTTTTATTATACCCAGGGGAAAATAGTTTGCCAAATTTGGAGGGTGTGTTAAAAATGATCTGTCTTAATCATCCTGAAAAATCTAAAAATTTGGCTGGGCATGGTTGCTCATGCCTGTAATCCCAGTACTTTGGGAGGCCAAAGTGGGCCGATCACTTGAGGTCAGGCGTTCAAGACCAGCCTGGCCAGCATGGTGAAGCACTGTCTCTACTAAAAATACAAAAATTAGCCAGGTGTGGTGGTGCACTCCTGTAATCCTAGCTACTCGGGAGCCTGAGGTAGGAGAATCGCTTGAACCTGGGAGGCAGAGGTTGCAGTCAGCCGAGATGGTGCCACTGCAGTCCAGCCTGGGTGACAGAGCAAGACTCTGTCTAAAAATATATATTTATATATTATATATATTTATGTTATATATTTATATGTTATATATTTCATATATTTTTATATATTTTATATATATATATATAAAACATTGGAAGCAGGTGCCTCAAAGAGGTGAGCAGTAGAAAGGGAGGGCAGTTAAAAGCCATCAGTCAGTCATGGCCTCCCAGACCCTGGGAACTCTACCACTGCTGGAGAATCTGATCAAGCACTAATTGAAGGTTCCAGTTGACAGAGAAAACGGTGATTTCAAATAAGAACCTCAAAAGTCAGATGATTGGAAGCTCTGTGGATTTGGAATTCAACTGCTTCTCACCTGGGCAACTAAGTGTGCTCCAGGGAAATTTGAGTTACTTATATTCCAGGCCATGCAGGACTATCGCAAGCATGTGAAATATGTATATTTGCAGGGGGAAAAAGTCTAGGGAAAAATACACACCAAAGGAATACATTCGTTCATTCATCAGGCATTACCTATTTCATGCCACACCTTGGGCTCTAAAGAATCAGAACTACCACGTAGCAAGGGAGAAAAACGGGTAAGAATAAAACATCGTTTATTTCCTTATTTTATTTTTGTCTGTGTTTTCTAAATGTGACTAGATCTCTAACAACCAAGAAGGTTTTATTTATTTTGAAAAAATATACTTTCCCTGTTAAAAGGTGAGCCACTCTTCTGAGGGCAGAGTCGGAAAGAAGGGTCCAGAAGCCCACCTAGCGTCCGATTTCCTTCTTTTTTTTTTTTTTTTTTTTTTTGTTTGTTTAACAGGGTCTCGCTCTGTCGTCCATACTGGAGTGCAGTGGCGCCATCTCGGCTCACTGCAACCTCCGCCTCCTAGGTTCAAGTGATTCTCCTGCCTCAGCCTCCCGAGTAGCTGGGATTACAGGTGCATGCCATCACGCCCGACTAATTTTTGTATTTTTAGTAGAAACAGGGTCTCACCATGGTGGCCAGGCTGGTCTTGAACTCCTGACCTTAAATGATCCACCCGCCTTGGCCTCCCAAACTGCTGGGATTACAGGCGTGAGCCACTGCACCCGGCCCCAGCGTCCAGTTTTCAAAGCCCCTCTGCTCAGCTTCCAGAGATCCCAGGAAACTCTAAGTGGGAGCATCTCGTATCCCCACGATGCGACCGGTCACAAAACACGGGACCCGAGACACTGAAAGTGGAGGCTTCTTGATGGATCAAGCTGCGCAGTTCTCATACCGACCCGCGGCCAGGCTGTAAGACAGGTGGTCGGCTACAGACACAATCACAGCCACCTTGGACAAGGACCCGTGAGCTGACAGCCATTAAGCTTCATAAACTGGTCCAAATCTAACGGACCGCTACTGCCGGAAACGGAAAGTCCTCAAGGGCGGGTGTTGGAAGCAGAGCGGAAGCGGAAGGAGAGTACCGGAAACGGTGTTTGGTGGCGCACGCGATGGCCGAACCTGTGTCTGTTGCGGCTGAATATCTCGCGGGCAGCAGGGCGCGCGCTGCACGCACAGTACTAGGTCAGGTGGTGCTGCCGGGTGAGGAGCTGCTCCTGCCGGAACAGGAGGACGCGGAAGGCCCTGGCGGTGCCGGGGAGCGACCGTTGAGCCTGAATGCTGGAGCGCGCTCGCGGGTGCGCGTTGTATGCGGCCCGGGCTTGCGGCGCTGTGGGGACCGCCTGCTGGTCACCAAGTGCGGCCGCCTCCGTCACAAGGAGCCCAGCAGTGGCAGCGGCGGCGGTGTTTACTGGGTGGACTCTCAGCAGAAGCGGGTGAGCTGGGACTGCGGAGGGGTGGTGCGGCCGTGAGAGTGATAGCCCTGGTTTGAGAAGACCTCCCAAAAGAAGAAGGGATGGGATCCTGAGGCCCTCTGTTGTTCAGGCAAACCTAGAGCCACCGTAGTCTTGTGCCCACTTCTGCATGTCCTTTAGAGGGACCGTGAACAATAGGAACATAGCCTGAGAAGGGCGACCAGGAGAGAAAAACGTTTGGAGACCGTGAGTCATGATTATAAAGTCTTCAAAACTCCAAACGTCAGGGAGCAGCAGGCTTGCCCATTCAAGTCTCAGAGGGCAAGACCAGGCTCAATGAGTGGATGTCATAGGGAGTTAATTTCTCCTAGAACAGGTAAGAACTTTCATAGAGAAAAAAATTGTCTAACTATGGAATGGGCTTCCTTGGTTGTAAGGATTCCTTTGCCACTGAACTTATGCCACAAAGCTAGGAACTTACTGGTTGGGGTGCTGAAGAGATAATGGGGTTTGGACTCAATTAACAGACTACCAGAAGCTGCACACCTGACACTTTATGATGTGATTTTCTTTTACCGAAAGTGGCATATGATCAGATTTCGTTCTCTTTAATGACAATAAAGTAACCACGAAGGACTTGCTGAAGGTATCTTCCAATGGTATCTTCTCATTTATGGCTGTTTTCTCATTCTATTTCCTTTTGTAGTATGTTCCAGTGAAAGGAGACCATGTGATTGGCATAGTGACAGCTAAATCTGGAGATATATTCAAAGTTGATGTTGGAGGGAGTGAGCCAGCTTCTTTGTCTTACTTGTCATTTGAAGGTGCAACTAAAAGAAACAGACCAAATGTGCAGGTAATTATGGGAGCCTTTGGCTTCAAAGTAAGAAACATCCCTTCCCTAGAACACTCAGATATCCAGAAGGCTACCTGAATTGTCTCCAAAGTATGACCTAGATCTTTGAGCATGTATATAATTGCCCCAGGCTCCAAGAGTTTCTTCAGATGCTGCAGGATCAGAGCCACATAATTTTTTTTTTTTTTTTTTTTTAACATTTACCATTTATTTTACATTGGCTACATTTGTTCTTGGGATGTTTCATTTCTACTGAGTTGAAAGGTTGTATCTGTCATCACCATTATTTGTTATGTCCATATCCTCGGGACAAGGATGTCTGCTGTAGGCTTAGAGGAGGGACAGGTGGTGCAAATTGACATTATCAGCTATCCATCCATCCTGGCTGTAGGTCCTAGAAGCTGATAGAGGAGTAATACTGTTACCTTGGGTTTTCAGGTTGGGCTTTTCAGGTAGCATAGCCACACGCTTCTTGTCTATCCAGCCCGAAATTTAGTGATGTCTTTGCCTCTTCACATTTACTTCTCATGCAAATTTATTTGCTTAATCTTATTTGATTCTGTCTCTGATTTTTGGCATGTCTATCCCTTTATCTCCACTTTGCAAGTTCAGGCTTTAGCTCCGTCTTGACTGGTCTCAGTCACTTCTTCATTAATCCTTGCCTCCACGCTTTTACCTCACCATCCAGGGTTTTGAGAGCTGACATCCTAACACAGTTACTTTCTCGAAAAGGAAAAACGAGATTCTCCAAAATCCACAGAATTCCTTGGCATTACACTCCAGGTGTCTTTCCTCATCCCTAATTATATCCTTCATACAGCCATACTCTAATCACACCAAACGCCATTAGACTCAATTTCCTGCCCTTATTCCTTTACACATGCTGTTCCCTCTGTCTTGATTGCACTATCCCTTCGCAGCCTGTGGAACACATTCTCATCCTTTGAGACCTAGGCTAAACACGACCGCCTCTGTAAAGCCATCCCCAGTTGTGACTTTTCTCATTTTTTTGCTCTAGCACTTACTGGATTTAGCCTCGACTGAGGTTTGTTTATATGTACCTCCCCACTGCCCTCCAAGACCAAATGCTTCTGAAAAGCAGAGAATGTTTTGTTCCTCTCTAGTTTACATAGTCACCAACAAACAGTGGGTACTTAATATGTTTTGAGTGAACAGAATTGAGTTCACGCTCCATTTCCTCAGTTTCATCCCTTTAAAGTTTAGCTCTATGAGGTTTTTAAGTAAATCTTGCAGGGAGAAGTGTCAGTGAATTATTGTTTTGTTTTGCTTTGAATAATTTGCATGCCGGAGTTCCTCTCTCTGTAAATTGTAATTCTCTAGGGTAGTGCCACCTAACATAACTTTCTACAGTGATGCTGTTTTGTATCTGCACTGATTAGTATGGTAGCCACTAGCTGTTGAGCACTTGAAATGTGGCTAATGCAACTCAGGAAATTAATTTTAAATATCTAATTTTAATTAATTTAAATATAAGTTTAAACAATTGGCTACCTACCATATTGGACAGTGCAATCCTAGAGGTGTTCTCTGGCCTTGAGATGGGCTCCTTGTCTGTGATTTCCTGGTTGGTGAAAGGGAATGATACATGTGTTCCTTTTTTTCCCCAAGACTCAACTTCAAAGTGACTGTGGGAATCCTGTAGTACAGTCAGTCCCTTAGCCACAGAACTGTAGGTGGCTGGCATTGATGCCTGTGAGAAAGAACCAATAGCAGCACCTGTAGAGTAGTTTGCTGAGAGGAAATGAACTGGTTTTTAATATCATTGTAGGTTGGAGATCTCATCTATGGCCAATTTGTGGTTGCTAATAAAGACATGGAACCAGAGATGGTCTGTATTGACAGCTGTGGACGAGCCAATGGAATGGGTGTCATTGGACAGGATGGTCTGCTTTTTAAAGTGACTCTGGGCTTAATTAGAAAGTAAGTCCTGATGTCTGCTGCCTTGCCTGCCTTCTTTTATAATTACACATTCTTGGAAAGTTGGTTAATCTTCAGGATTCAGATTATTTGTAACATTTAAATTTCTCCTCAAAGTTAAAAATCAATATCCATTTTAACACATTTGGAAACTCATGAATTTAATCCTATCTTCTTGGAAACGTATCAAATTCAGATGTGTTTGGCTGTGTAGTTTCTGGTGGGCTAATACTTCATGCTTTAAGCTCTTACTCTGTATTCATGTCTTCCCTCCCAGGCCTATTCCTTAGTTGACTCAGCCCAAATGTGAAAACTGGCCTTTCCCCTGTTCTGAGTCACTTGAATACAGATGCAGTCTGCAGTTGTACAGAATTATCAAATTTTTCTAATTATGGGGGTCACACGCAGCTTAGATTGTGATGTTCAAGGTTATGTAGCCATTCACAGAAGGCTTCTGACACTTGGTCCTGGTAAGTTTAGCAGTTCCCACTGAGGCAGATTCTCTTTTTAGTGTTTACAAATTTACCCACCCAAAGCTGTGCCATATTCAGGGGCTTTACTCCTAGAGCCCGTGAAGTTCAGAGCTATCTTGTATGCCTCTCCTTGCTCCGTATCCTAAAGATCTGGAGAATTAAGTTTGGACATCAGAGAAGCATGTTATTAACCAAGAAACATGTTATTAACCAAGCACCACCCTTATGGTTTGAAAGAGCCAGTGTTCCTCTCCAAGTACTGTATTTAATGCAAGAGAATAATATGGTCAGGAAAGTAAGTTTAAAGTGTCTTTTAGCACTGTAGGTAACAAAAAAAGTTATGATTCTCAGTCTAGAATTAAAGTGCTCTAACAATCTAGTGGAATGACTTTTACATTTTTTGCAAAGTTGGTAACCTAGGGAGTTTGACTTCTTCGTAAGGGATAGCCCACCTCTGTGATCTCTAATATACCTTTGAACATTATAAAGTTTCTTGGAAGGAGGCAGCAAATGTCATCATGTGCCTTGTTCTTGTTGAACAACTACGGAGAACTCAGAAAAGGAATCACATTCTAAAGGAGACTCTGGACACACCTTCGCCGCTTTATTAAATTTCATTTCCTTTTCTCTTCCCACCAGGCTATTAGCTCCAGACTGTGAAATCATACAGGAAGTGGGAAAACTCTATCCACTGGAGATAGTATTTGGAATGAATGGAAGAATATGGGTTAAGGCAAAAACTATCCAGCAGACTTTAATTTTGGCAAACATTTTAGAAGCTTGTGAACACATGACGTCAGATCAAAGAAAACAGATCTTCTCCAGATTGGCAGAAAGTTGATATAGGTGGACTTTTTTACAGGTCAGTTGATGCAAAAAACTATGGGTTTCCTGGGGAATACTTTTTTCACGTGAACCTCTCCCCATTTAAATACTCAGAAGATTAGGTGTGAATGTATATTATCAGATATATTATCAGAGTCCTAAAATATTTTTATAAGTAAGTTACTGGTTTTCACCCACGCTTTAGAGAGAAAATCATTGCAAAATCATATTTTCTGTTTCTGTACAATAAAGTTTACTAAAAAACAGTATTATGGTATATTTGGAGTTAACTCCCTTAGTATTGCTACAGCTTCCATAATTAACTGGAAGTCAGCAGTAAAATAATTTTCTGATTATAATAGTAAGCCAGGTTCACCAGAGGAAATGCAGACTACATGAAAAGTATAAAGCAGCAAAACGTCACCTGTAGTCCCATTATTCAGGGGGTGAGTATATAACAATGAAATACTGTGTGTTTTCCATTTACCAAGTATTGTGTTTTGCATGGATTAACTCCTTTATTCTTACTAACTGCAGAAGACACTTATCCTCATAATTGAAACGGAGGTACAGAATTTAACTTGGCCTACATTCTCTGTATGTTCATCAAATTGAAATTATATTATAGCTTATATGCTACTTTGTAATATACTTTTGTCTACTTCAAATAGCATGATACATTTCACAACTTCCATTAAAAATTCATTAGTCACATATTTCATGTTATAGGATATTTTTGATGTAGTATATTTGATATATTTTGATATAGTTTATTATTATATAAATAATGAGGATTTCTGAATCCAAATCTGGCCAAGTCTTATTTTGCTAAAATCATTTCCTAGGAGCTCAGCATAGAAAACTCTTCTATGCTATTTAGTATATTAACCAAAACCTTTAAAGGTAAAAAGACTGCCGGGCGATCCACATCAGTGATTCTTGGTTTCTAGACCTCTTTGAGAATATGTGAGATATAGATCCCCTGAAGCCTATCCATAGAAAGTCCTTTTTGGATGAAAGAGATTATAGAACTCATTGTTTATATGTTGATAAAGACCAAGGAGCTTTATGTGTTCCTAATGATGTTTTCTGAGGACTGGGCGGTTTTTTTACTTCAATAGATTTTAGGGCTACAAGTGGTTTTGGGTTACGTGGATGAATTGTATAGTGGTGAAGTCTGAGGTGTACCAGTCACCTGAGTACTATATATTGTACCCAATATGTCGTTTTTTTATCCTTCGCCTTCCCGGGTCTCCAGTGTCTTATACCACTCTGTGCTTACCTGTAGCTTAGCTCCCCACTTACAAGTGAGAACATTTGGTATTTGGTTTTCCATTCTTGAGTTACTTCACTAAGAATAGCTTCTAATACTATCCAAGTTGCTGCAAAAGACACTTGGTTCTTTTTTATAGCTGAGTAATATTCCATAGGATATATATATACACCACATTTTATCCATTCATTGGCTGATGGGTACTTAGATTGGTCGCATATCTTTTATGATGAACTGTCTGGCCGGTTTTTAAATAATAGAAAGATACTGGTGTAATTTATTAGGTGATCACAGTTCCTTAGGAATTAAATTGTGAAGGGGAGGGGACAGAGCAGAGAAGTAATCTTTTGGTTCTTTTGAGTTATTGAATACATTTCCTGAATTTGCTAGCTGCTTAACTAGCAAGTTAACTAACCCAAACTGTCAGAGTAACTGAAGCAAATATGTCCAACTGGGACATAAGGAACATGAGATTTGTGTAATAAGCAGGTTATTTAACATGTTCATGTGTCAAAATGTAACACTTTCTAGCCGTTTTCAAGACAGACTTTTATCAATACTGTGTTTGCTTTACAATTTAATCTGTTACAAATACATATGAAGAATCTAGTTGGTACCAGGCTCAGAGAGGATAGAAAGATAGGTACACAGATCTGTCCTGTTAGGATCCTGCCATTAGGAAGAGAAGTCCTCCATGCGCATACTCTACAGGGTAAGAGCCATAGGAAGGAACAAAATGCTATGGGGACTCAGTAGGGATACGTCAGAACAGGCTGGATCCTGCAAAGCTTATTACAGAGCTGGGAGACGATAAGCATGATCAGACAAGGCTGGAGAAAGTCATCCAATTTTATGATGCCAGTTTAGTGAATATTAAACTCTTGATATAACCATTTAAACAATTTCAAGAGGTCTCTCACAAATAGATATACAACAGTTCAATTAGCACATCCAAAGCCATGTGGTTTTGAGGCTAATTCCTTGTTACATAAATTTCTTTTTTTTCTTGAGAGAGTCTTGCTCTGTCGCCCAGGCTGGAGTGCAGTGGCACGATCTCGGCTCACTGCAACTTCCGCCTCACAGGTTCAAGTGATTGTCCTGCCTCAGCCTCCTGAGTAGCTGAGACTACAGGCACGCGCCACCGCGCCTAGCTAATTTTTGCATTTTTAGTAGAGACAGGGTGGTTTCACCATATTGGCCAGGCTGGTCTGGAACTCCTGACCTTGTGATCTGCCCGCCTCAGCCTCCCAAAGTGCTGGGATTACAGGCATGAGCCACTGCGCCCACCACATTAACTTTTTATTACTTATCTGGGCACTTCCTGTGAGCCAGGCACTATGGGAAATTAAAAAGCATTCAGTGTGGTCCCGGACATTAGCTTACTGTGAAGCTCTGAGAATATGTCATGCAAAGGCAATTATGTGCCACTGACATCCTCTGCCCTGCTCTTTGGTCAGGGTTAACTCCAGCACCTCACTCTTGCAGCTGCAATTTTTTTTTTTTTTTTTTAGATGGAGTCTTGCTGTGTCACTCTTGTCACCCAGGCTGGAATGCAGTGGCGAAATCTCGGCTCACTGCAACCTCCACCTCCCGAGCTCAAGTGATTCTCCCACCTCCCGAGTTCAAGTGATTCTCCCACCTCAGCCTCCCAAGTAGCTGGGACTACAGGTGCATGCCATCACACCTGGCTAATTCACCATGTTGGCTGTGCTGGTCTTGAACTCCTGACCTCAGGTGATCTGCCCGCCTCAGTCTACCAAAGTGTTGGGATTAAGGCGTGAGCCACCACGCCTGGCCACGCACCTGCAATCTTAGGCCCATCATTCCACTGAGTTCCGAAGAATATAGCCTTTTCCTGAAGTAACTCCTTTCTTCAATGCTTCAGGCCAGTTGCGAGTCTCTAAGTAAGTCGACAGGATATCAAACACTGTTAGAGAGTAAACAGAAAACACAGTGACCACACAGAGGAAAAAAAAGAATGAGTAAATGAAATGAAAAGGATGTTCTGTAATATTTCATTGAACCTATTCTGCACCATATGTGGTACTAAGGTCCTGCGGGGAGAGAGGCAAGGACACAAGCTCTGCTTACTCTCAAGGACCTCAACCTACTCTGAAAGATACAGGCCTGTAGGGAGTAACAGAAAGGAACACAGTAAAATGGGAACACAGAAGGGCCCTGCCATGGCCTGGGATGGGGAAGGAAGCCAAGATGTTCCTGAACTGAACCCTGAAGATCAAACAGGAATTCAGTGGTCAGTGAGAGGTTAAAAGAAGGGCATTCTAGGTCAAGGGGACAATTTCTTTCTTTTCTTCGTCTCCTTCTCTTCCTCCTCATCCTCCTCCTTTTTCTTACTCTCTCTCCCCCCACCCCCCGCTTCCCTCTCTCTCTCTCTTTTCGAGGCGGAGTTGTGCTCTTGTTGCTCAGGCTGGAGTGCAATGGCACGATCTCAGCTCACCACAACCTCCGCCTCCCAGGTTCAAGTACTTCTCCTGCCTCAGCCTCCCAAGTAGCTGAGATTACAGGCATGTGCCATTACACCTGGCTAATTTTGTATTTTTAGTAGAGACAGGGTTTCTCCACGTTGGTCAGGCTGGTCTCGACCTCCCGACCTCAGGTGATCCGCCTGCCTCAGCCTCCCAAAGTGCTGGAATTACAGGCATCAGCCACCGCACCCAGCTTTTTTTGTTTTTGTTTTTGAGACAGAGTATCACTCTGTCACCCAGGCTGGAGTGCAGTGGTGTGATCTCGGCTCACTGTAACCTCCACCTCCCAGGTTCAAGCGGTTCTCATGCCTCAGCCTCCGAGTAGCTGGGATTACAGGCACGCGCCACCATGCCTGACTAATTTTTGTATTTTAGTAGAGATGGGATTTCACCATGTTGGCCAGGCTGGTTTCAAACTCCTAACCTCAGGTGATCCGCCCACCTCAGCCTCCCAAAGTGCTAGGATTAAAGGCGTGAGCCACTGCGCCTGGCCAAGGGGACAATTTCAACTATCTTTAACATAGTTGGTGACAAGGAAGAAAACAAAGAATGCCTCTTGGTGGCCAGAATGTGTGTCACGAAGTGCATGCAATAAAGTCCAAGCACATTAGTCACAAGAGACTGACTCAAAGGCCACTTAAACACAGTGCAAAGCAGCAGCACCAGAACTCACACACGCTGGATGGGGGCCGTGTAAGAAGTACCTTGATTGATGGCCAGGATCTCTGAATGATAGTTTTTCCCATTCTGGTTTCTGACCATGTATTCCTGGATTGGCAAGCGTGCGGTCTTGACAGAGTACTCCCAGGCCTTTTGAAATGTCACCTTCTGTAAATACAGTTAAATCTTTTTCTTATAAAAATTATCCATGAGTATATTCCCAATGTAATACAGCTTTAAAAATAAGTACGCTATTGTGGAATGGAAGAAACTGCAGATAATGAGTTAACTGTCTCAAGAGCTTATGTGACAATATCTCACTTTTGGGGGGTCACTTATCCACAGTCCTCCACTCACTACCACTTAGAACCAAGAGGGAAATAAGCAAAAGAGGCACATCTGCAGCTACAGTAGACATCAAAAGGCCCAAGAAGTCGAATCAATCAGAGCCCATTCTGAGCCCTAACTCAGTAAGACCCAATTCTGGATATCTGGAACTTCCAGCTCACTGTCAAAAGGCAGCATCAAGAGAAAAGGTAGACAAGATTCAAGACGGGTGCACCACTGCAACAAGTGGCATTAAGGTGTGAGAACAGACAGCCCAATTAAAAGAAAGGGGCCAGGTGCAGTGGCTCACACAACACTTTGAGGCCAAGGCCAGAGGACTGCTTGAGCCCAGGAGTTCAAGACCAGCTTGGGCAACAGAGGGAGACCCTGTCTCTACAAAAAAAAAAAAAAAAAATTAACAGGGTGTGCTGGTGTGTGCCTGTAGTCCCAGCTACTCTGGAGGCTGAAGTTGGACAATGTTAGAGAGTAAACAGAAAACACAGTGACCACACAGAGGAAAAAAAAGAATGAGTAAATGAAATGAAAAGGATGTTCTGTAATATTTCATTGAACCTATTCTGCACCATATGTGGTACTAAGGTCCTGCGGGGAGAGAGGCAAGGACACAAGCTCTGCTTACTCTCAAGGACCTCAACCTACTCTGAAAGATACAGGCCTGTAGGGAGTAACAGAAAGGAACACAGTAAAATGGGAACACAGAAGGGCCCTGCCATGGCCTGGGATGGGGAAGGAAGCCAAGATGTTCCTGAACTGAACCCTGAAGATCAAACAGGAATTCAGTGGTCAGTGAGAGGTTAAAAGAAGGGCATTCTAGGTCAAGGGGACAATTTCTTTCTTTTCTTCGTCTCCTTCTCTTCCTCCTCATCCTCCTCCTTTTTCTTACTCTCTCTCCCCCCACCCCCCGCTTCCCTCTCTCTCTCTCTTTTCGAGGCGGAGTTGTGCTCTTGTTGCTCAGGCTGGAGTGCAATGGCACGATCTCAGCTCACCACAACCTCCGCCTCCCAGGTTCAAGTACTTCTCCTGCCTCAGCCTCCTGAGTAGCTGGGATTACAGGCACGCGCCACCATGCCTGACTAATTTTTGTATTTTAGTAGAGATGGGATTTCACCATGTTGGCCAGGCTGGTTTCAAACTCCTAACCTCAGGTGATCCGCCCACCTCAGCCCTGACCTCAGGTGATCTGCCCGCCTCAGTCTACCAAAGTGTTGGGATTAAGGCGTGAGCCACCACGCCTGGCCACGCACCTGCAATCTTAGGCCCATCATTCCACTGAGTTCCGAAGAATATAGCCTTTTCCTGAAGTAACTCCTTTCTTCAATGCTTCAGGCCAGTTGCGAGTCTCTAAGTAAGTCGACAGGATATCAAACACTGTTAGAGAGTAAACAGAAAACACAGTGACCACACAGAGGAAAAAAAAGAATGAGTAAATGAAATGAAAAGGATGTTCTGTAATATTTCATTGAACCTATTCTGCACCATATGTGGTACTAAGGTCCTGCGGGGAGAGAGGCAAGGACACAAGCTCTGCTTACTCTCAAGGACCTCAACCTACTCTGAAAGATACAGGCCTGTAGGGAGTAACAGAAAGGAACACAGTAAAATGGGA